AGACAAGGGGTATAACTCCCCCTTTTTTAGTTTTTGAAGTTGATGTTTAAGGGTATTATGAGCTCATTCAACAATCCCCTGTCCCTGGGGATTATAGGGTATACCAGTTTTATGTATCAGCATACAAGTGTGTCTATTTTTATAGGTGGCTGGAGCATAAGAGAAGGGCAAATACCCGAATCAAAAGGTTATTACCATAAACAATATGTTGGAAGACCCACATAATTAGAGGGCATGAATACATATTGAACACCAGAAAAGGAGCAGTAATAAATATCACAGTTACATAAAACCTTATGTTTTTCACTGTAGTTTGGTACCAAAACCATCTTTCTGATAACACTCTCTTTTTTATGACACAGAAACTAAGCTTTTGAAGATGACCAATGTGGACATATTACAATAACATAAATTAAGCTTTTGAAGATGACCAATGTGGACATATTACAATAACATATTTAGAACTTAACCAATGTAAACATTTTACAATAACATATTTAGTGCTTAAACATCAATGATAACCCATGTAATCAATTTATAACATATTTAGAATTTAAACTTCAACAATAACCAATGTAATCAATTTATAACAACATTTTGAGACAATATTTGTTGTGGTGTGTCTCCCATAAGATTATAAAAATTACTAGGGGGTGCCTTTAGTGAATTAAGACCAGAATAATTATTTTCTGGGTGGCCACTTTTTTATTCACCAAAGGGAGTACCCACAGTCTCTATTTATTTTGACAAACAAAGAATAAGAATATATATATATATATCTTCTTATTTTACAACTGCTTATTGCAATTTGATTATTGCATGTAGGTGACAATACACATTACTTTTATAAAATAAATCTCAGTGGCACTTTGATCAATTAGCAACCTGGGAAAGAAGGCATACCTTTAATTTAATAACATTTATCTGTAAGCCAATTTAACAATAGGTGAATATCTTTTATAAAAAAAACTTTTTTCAAAAGGTGAAAAGGAAAAGAGAAAAAAAAATTGAGCTCAACTGTACAAACAGACAAACAACAGACAACAGACAAACATATAAGACAATTTATAAAATTA